CTGCTAGAAGCCGATCTGAATGGAGAAAAAGCTGTCAGCTTCAGACTTGAAGCTTGACAGCTTTTTCCTCCATAATACTAGGTGAGGCTCTGCCTCCTCTGATGCGCACGTATGTGTGTATATATGTGTATGTATATAACGGAAAACTGTTTTACTTACCGTAATTTTCCTTTCTTGGCTCATCCTCATGTCGGCACAGTATGGGTCAGCTCCTCCCCCTCTGACCCCACAGGACCACCTTTAACAAGCCAATAAAACAGAGCTTCCCCCCCCCCCGTACCTGTTCAATAACATGCCGAGCGACAGGTCCTACCAGGGAAGGGAATGCATGCATGCCATTCACTGGTGGGTACTGATAAGTTACAATTTGCTGAATTTTAATCAGGATTCACCAAACTCTTGAACCTGGGCACATTAGTCTGTCCCTACTGGACAAAAACTTCTCTCATATTGATCATTATGGTGTATATAATCTCCAGAGGGTTCATGTTGATCTAAAAATAGCTCGCACAATCTATGTACAGTATATAATAAAAAACAAAGTTACACCCAAACACCAATATTGGACATCAACCAACAATCAAAATGTACATTTTCTTTGATTAATTTATCTCAAATAGCTGTTTTCAATTCCATAATACCACTTTGCAGTTGTTAAAAAAAATAGAATGTATCCACATTAGTATAAAATATGGATCTACAGGAGTATTTAACAACTGAGTAACAATTTTTACTGTATTTAGAATGGCGAAGTTAAAGAAAATATCCTTGTCCACTGTCCCTCACTGTAAGAGGTTCCTTATTCATTGGCCACCAATGTAACCATTGTTCATTGACAATGCGAGGGGACCCGTCTCCCCTTCTGCCACCAATGTAAGGGGCGGGGGAACTTCTCCACTGACCACAAATATAAGGAGCAGCATTAGGATTATTATGAAGTGGAAAAGGATACATTTAATCCTCTACCACAAGGGGGCAATAAAATACCAATAATTGAATTGTTTAACAAATAACAGTTCAAGCAACCTTGTCACAACCAAAAACATTTTTTTTAAATAAGTGTTGGTGGATGGAGCCACAGTGGAAGCTGCAAGGTGCACAGTGGACGGCACAGGTATCTGAAACTAAAAAAAGCGTGTTAAAGATTCTTTAGCCACTTTAGCTCTTCAAAAGAGCAAAGATGAGAGTTACTGCCCACTGGGCTAATATCAGTCCAAAAAAGATCCTGGGATATCATAGCCATGTAATCGCACCCATTGAAGAAATAACTTTGCCAGAAATGTTGTGATGAAATAAATGGGATAATCCCAGAATGACTGATGCATTCCAAGTTTTTTTGGCTGATATTACGATCCTATCGGATATGCCCTTAGACAGCAACCAATTACCACTATGCCCTTGGAAACCTGTAACCAACTACGGAAACGATGTGTCCAGGGTATAAACGGCTCAAGGGCTTTAGTTAGCTTTTTCCTAAGACATAAGACATGTGCAGGATACATTGGAAGACATAGTAGTATAAATGCCACAGCCAAAGGTGACTGAAATTCATTTCTCTTATGTCAATAAGACCATCAACACCCTCTGTGCTATACGTATGCCATTTAAACAAACCAGTCACAAGATAAACATGTAGGCTGCCATTGCCGAGCTCATCATGTGAAAATACTAGTATACTGGCTCTCATGCTGACCTTCAATGACTCGAGTCACTGAATGAAAACAGGACTGCTGACTTTTTATCTGGCTTTCCTGATCTGCATGCCTCTTACAAGTCAGTTTTCCAGAAAGCATTGGGGACAAACAGAGGGTCATCATAAAAGCCAGGCTGAGCTGTGTGGTGGAGGCCTGCAGTGGCAGCCCCAATATTTCTCTAATGACAGTTTAACTTTATGATGTAGGTAATGAATTTTAGCCTGTAATCATATATTCTCCTATTTAGGATGACTGTGGAGTTTTTATAGCTCATGTTAATATGAATGCTGTTTTCTCAGGCTCTGTGTAAATCGTATGGTGTGCAAATGGCATCCCGGATGTGGTGTGCAAATGGCATCCCGGATGTGGTGTACAAATAGTGTTATCAATGGTTGCTTTGGACTTTTGTAAATTCCAGCTGTGAGGTGAGAATATTGCAACAGCCCATATGTACACTTCTTTCACATATGAGGGAATGTAGAAGCACATTGAAATTTAAAGTGTTTTTCTGCTTCAGTCCTTTTGCTTTTAAATGTGTTTTACATGTATTATACATGTATTATACATGTTTTATACACTGTACATTATCAGTGTACACTGAGTGGCCAGATTATTATGACCACCTGACGTTTGCAGGCAAATTAGCTATAATTTCACGTTGAAGTTGCTAGAGGGCCAGACCATTATAAATAAGGAAGCAGGTTGTTTACCACGATAGTAGATGTGATTTTTTTCTGAAGATACGGGGAAACAACGCGATTTAACAGCCTTTGAACGTGGGATGATTGTTGGCGCTCGGAGCCATGGAGCGAGTATCAGCAAAAAAGCAGAATTTGTTAAATGTTCAAGAGGGGCTCATTGTTAAAGTGTTTAAAGACTGGACTGTCAGCCGAAAATCTGGGTCTGAACGTGCGAATTGTGGCCGTCAGCGACTAGTCAATGTTAGGGCAGAACGGAGAGTGGCAAGACTGGTACAAGACAACAGAAGGGCAACAGTGCAGTGTCAGATTCCTCGCATCACCTTTCAACATCTCGTGGAGTCACGAGGCGGCCCAACGAAGTCATCTCGTGGCCCAACGAAGTATTGATGGGGTGGTCATAATAATCTGGCCACTCAGTGTATATGTAAGGGCCGGATGTAACAACTCTGAAATTCTCAGGTAATAGCTTAAAATCCCTCCCCTGGTGTATGTATTGTCCATTGCTTTAATGCAGGCCCTGTTTAAAGGAGAACTATGAGGTGAGTGCTTTTCACTCACCTCTAGCCGACCTGTGACAATGAGACTGTCACAGGTCGGCTCAGTAGATTGGGAGGTGAGCGAACAGATACCGGCGTTCGCTCACCTCTCGATCCTGTCACGGCTCTCTGCCGTGACAGGGGAGGGGCTGGATTCCCCGCTCCGATCCGCCAGCGCTGCTGGCGGAACGGACGGGGGAGTGGGTGGGTACAGCTGGCTGTGCCTCTAGATAGGCAGAGCCAGCTGTCAGTCACGCAGCTGGGTGGATCCCGGCACAATTGTCGGGATCTGCTTCAGCTGCGGCGTCTCAGTATACCGCAAGCTATAGCGGTATACTGAGCTTAAGGTAACGGGAGGATGCTAGTTTGTGTCCTCCCGTTACCCTAAGGAGAACTATGGGGAAAAGACTTAACCCCATAGTTCTCCTTTAAGGAACATTCGGTATACATTTTTACTGCCCTAATTATTGCAGTCATGGCAATGGCAAAATCTAAATGCTTTGTAACAGACATTTCCTGACTCCAGAACAATAATGACTTCCTCCAGACAGAGCACAAAGGCACAAAATCCAGGAACTATCCAGTTAGTTTGCTCTTATTGTTAGCCGACAACACATTCAAAGTTTCCAGAATATTACAAAGAGACACGTTTTGTTTTGCTTTATCTACAATCCAGACACAAGTAGAGAAATCTCTTCTGCTATTTACACTGTTCTCTAAAGAAGCAACTCCAGATGCGGGAGGATGTAGACGGGAATTGGAGTGAAGCTGATCCCGGCGTCGCTCTGATAGGCTGGGGATCCTGCGGGGGAGGGGTCAAACCCTCCATTTACATGCAACCTTTAAAGAATAAGCATGTGTGAACCGCTGACCCGCCACAGCTGCATACATCGCATGCCGATTAAGTTTGGACGGCGTGTGAGAATGCGGCGGGAATCCAGTAAAGCGAAAGGAGATTTGGACGGCTTGAACTGGGGAGGCTGCCTTGTGCTTTGAGGAGCAGGAACACATCTAGAAGGTATACATACAGTATCTTGTTAGTTAAATATAGGGTTGGTTGAAGTTTATATTATGGATGTTATATCAGCTAATATATATACACAGGTTGTACTCTGAGGATTGATATGGGCTAGTTTTAGTGCCTCCAGACCTTTTTGATCTTAAGAATATATTCAGACATAATAGTTATGGTTGACAGTTGCTAAATATATTATATATAGTTTACATATATTTGAGTTGACTTTGTGGTTATGGAGGCAATGTCATCAATACCATTCCTCACTGAGATCTAATCTTTGATCTAATTAACCCTTCTATTGCCAGATCAATTATGAGACGCCTTTGTTATCCTTTATACCATGTCCCTTACATCCTCCAGATGACACCTTAAAAGCCCCATGTTATTCCTTGTTTGTATATTTTTTTAAATAGTAATAACCAAGATACATCTTCCTATCCCACTGTACTGCAAGCCAGCACAGCCTACATGAGAATGGCAACTCTGCTCTGAATTCAGGAGCAGTGCAGCAGTGTTACCACACCATCAAAGGAAGCTGCATTAAGTTGACTTCACTGGCAGGATCAACAGGTATTTTTGGGACTTTGCAGGAAACTAAAAGAAAGGTGTAAATGCAGATGCTTTTATAATTAAGTCATGGGCATATTTTTTTTCCAAATGTGAGATCTTAGTTCTATTTTACAGCTGAAGTTTAATCTGCTTATATTTTGGCTTCCCCTCCTATTACCACAAGTCTGTATCATCCAAGCATTGCCACCCAAATTTTTGCCAGTATAAAGGAAAGTTCTCTTTATACTGCAGTGGACATGTCAGCCCTATATAAAATGAGTTAAAAAATGAATATGTCTGCATCGTGTGCTTTATTAATTTCTAAAGAGCCCAGTCAGGAGTTTACACTACAATGGACTACCTGTAATATGGATACAGACAATAAATGTGTGATAGACGGGGCGTGGCTTGGATATGGCGGTGTAAAGACGCAAGTTTGAGGAGCTCTGCACCCCGTCAGCCCATACAGTGGTACCAATGACTTTACTAACCTTTTCCCTGCATGTCGAAGAACCGGGACACCCAGCAGACACCTGGTGAGCACGGTCAACCAGATCTCTTTTGTTTTTTCCTGCGCTCGGGTACGGCACACAGCTCCCGCGTGGCCTACACCATGGTGACCCTGACTTTGGCCATGGAATGGAGGACGCGTGACCAAGGGGACTCCACAACTGCCAATAAGTTGCGCCTCCTGGATTTCTTTTGGGGGGTGACCATGATCACCCACCCCGCCATTTGCGCGATGACGACCCCCCCCCTCCCGCAATGCAACTAAGGCACTTCCTACAGGCGATTCTGCAATCAGCGCATCCTAGCCGGGACCTTACGCCTTTCGAGACCCTATGTAGACCGGGTCAACCGGTGCGACACACCATTGCCGTCATATATGAGAGGCCCCCCCCCCCCCCCCCCAGGACTACTGCCCCCCCATACATAAGGAAATGGGAGACTGAGCTGGGGTAGACATTCACAGATGATCAGCGGGTTAAAATCCTTTCTCTTGTCCACAAGGCCTCCATTGCTAACCAGTTTCAGGAACAAGGATACAAGATCTTAGCCAGATGGTACAGGGTCCCCACACTCCTGCATAAAATGAATCCACTGGTGCCCTCCAACTGTTGGAGGTGTGATGCAGAACAGGGATCCATGGCCCACATTTTCTGGTTTTGCCCCAAGATTAGACCCTTCTGGGATGCAGTTAGGGACACCCTGAAACAGCTCACCATGACCGACCCGGGTGATCATCCTGCGACATACCTTCTCCATATGACGGGAAATGCTGTGGCCAAGTACAAGCGTTCCCTTACCATTCACTTGCTCTCTCTACCACCAAAGCATGTATTCCATTGTTATGGAGACAAACCACCCCTCCAACTCATGTGGTTCGATATAATTAATGACGTATGGAGGACCTTACAGCGTCTCTGCACAACTCAGAGGAACGGTTGTGCTCTACATGGGGAAACTGGCTCCAATTCCGATACTCAGATACATACCTGCGGGCCATGATGGACCAAGCGACTGGCCACATAGCTGGACCGTGAGGGGGAGATCGGAAACTTCACCCTACTTCCACATCTGTTTCTATTCCTATGTCTATGCCTCTTTATACTTCTTTTCCTCTCTTTCACCACCCACGGGGGAAGGTGCCATTTCCTTTATTAGGAGAAACCAAGAGTTGAGATCACGACTGATTGCGCCTGGATGTTTACATCCATACCGAGCTAGATGGATTGGAGATGCACTCCCACACCACGAAAACGTAACATGTTGTAATTACTTTTTCGTGACTGGGTTTCCACAAAGTGGTGGATACTGCTGATGATATAAATGTATATGTAGCAAGGATCGTGAGGCGGGTTCTTTGGTCTCATGTGCAGACAGATGTTCCTGTGTATTGTAATGTAAAAATGTTTTCTACTGAATGTATTTCATCTTTTATTTGGGCATGTATGTGCTGTCCCAGGTTACAAATGTGATATGTGTTGGGCGGCTGCCCTATTTTGTCAAGTAGAATGTTTACGCTGTTGTATACGCTGTTGTCCAGTAAAGAATTAAATCCCAAGACTTAGGTAATGATTAGACGGTAATAAGTGTGTGAAAACTTTTCTTAATGTTCATATGATTAGGGATTTGATTTATGTTCTTTGCACACTTGTCCTCGTCCCATCCCACGTAGGGCTGCAGTATTTTGGAGACTCTCTTTTGTTTGCACAGAGAAGGACAGGACACAGAATCAATATTTGAGGTTATGGATTAACCAGAATGTGATCTACCATCTATGGCTGAAATTGAAGTCCACAAGCAAAGTGTCTAAAAGATTGTCAGACACAAGGAGTCCAGTACCAACACACAACGCAAGACCCATCCAAGGGATCCATTCAGCAGCGATGTGTAAGTTACATATTGTGTTTTGTGTGATTAGCTATACCGTTCACCAAGCTTCAATATATAATATAGGAATCGTTGATACAAAAAACAGAAATAGCACTAACAGAATTATCAGATATATATCACTGAACCTTCACAGACAGATCTTTGTCTCTTGTGCTAAATTTAAATATGAACATGTAAAATATTTCCCTTTCCAGTGGTCACAACAATTCTCTGCTGTGTTTGAAATCAATAGAAAATTATGAATGTAGAACTCTCTAGGTAAATCTCTAAGCAAGAATTGCTTGTGATCCTCCCAACATCACTGCTCCAACTACAGCAGCATTTGACTGCATTGCATGCACATTGAAAGAGTTATTCCCGGTTCTATCAAAAAAAGGAGCATTCATCATTACCAGAACATTTTCAGTAAATTGTAAAAGCTGTACACACCATAACATGCACTTTGGACTGTCACTCAACAGGTTTTTCCAGTAACAAACAGATATCAAAGCCAATGCTCAGTTTTGTTCACTATCTGAACTGCTTGCTATCAAAATTAGCAATAGGGATTAGCAGATTTACTGGGGTGGGATTTGCTGGGGGTTTAGCAAATCCTGCGTAAAAGTCAGTGAACCCAAATTCAGCGACAAATCCTATTGAAGCCTATGAGGGGGGGTCCTGTTAGTACATTCCGGCCATTTTTAGGGCTATAAGGTATTGTCAAAAAAAGTAATGGAAAGCTTGGTTCTGCCATGGTGTTATGTACCAATGCCAAAAAGTGGATAGAGTTCTGTTAGTTTGGTGTTGAGGGTGACATAGAAAAAGTACAAATCCATTAAATTATAGGCTTGTAGCATGCGTTAAAGCTGTCCATGGTGTTATTAAATGGTACTGTTTCCATTGCTAGCCCCAGTAAGAGCATTCTCTGTCATTGCATATTTGGTGGTATTGAATTTTTTTCTTTTACAATTAGCTTGGCGTACATATAGCAGAACACCAAACTAATTGGATTTCAGTTTTAAAAAAGGTTATGTAAGTAGTCACATGGACACATTTATTAAGTGGTAGTAGGCCTGCTTTGACTGGTGGAAAAGAATTGGCTGTCCCTGTTTTCACTGATACATTTCTAATAAACTTTCATAAAAAATAAAGAGACCACAGATAATAGAGCAGTGTAAAATTGACCTGCGGCAGAAGAGTTTTAATGAGCAAGATTAATCAAGATTAAGCTAAATTGTACTAGAGACGCAGGGCAAAAATTAAGAGACAACAGATGATATAGCAGTGTCAAATTGCCCAGAAGCAGGACAGTTTTAATCATGATTGTATGTACAAGGGAGACAATGGGCCCTGCCTTGTGCCTCTTTTGATACATATTTATGGAGTAAATTGAAATAAATACCTAATTCATATCAATGGAATGGAATAAAGGACAGAAAGGGCTTCCATAAAAGGGCTAAGAAGCCAAATATTTCTGTGACCAGGGCCGGATATTTCCAGCTGACTGCATCAATTTTTTTTTTCCCCAAAATATTTTATTGGTTTTTGACATTTTCAAAAAGAATGTAACATTGGTACTTAAATTTATAATAGTGGCATATAGTAACATATGACATCATGACAGAACTAACAAGCATTGGTCAACTACCGAGACAACGGACCACGTAGTGAGCATACATGGAAAGGAGACATCATTAGGTGACTGTCTGCCAGACATATTGGAGTAAGAAAATCTGGAGGATCAATAGGTAAGTAAGCTAGGAGAAAGCAAAGAGGGGAAAACAGTGGATGAGGAGGAGAAGGGAAGGGTAGGGGTAAGAATAGCGCTACTTTCAAATTTGTGGATTGAGATCCAAATTAGATTAGTATGAGTTAGGAGAGACCTATTGTCAAAGGGTTAATAACTGTCGGTCAAACGACAGGGGAAGAAAGTGGGTAACCCATGGGTTCCAAAGTTTTTAAAATTTAGGCATACAATCTTGTAGGCGGGCCGAAAGCTTTTCATTGTAGAACGTCCAGTGAATTTTATTTCTAACTTCTGAAATAGAAAGGAATTTTGACAGCCAAGCTCTAGCTATTGTACGTTTAGCTGTTGATAATACATGTAGCATCAATTTAAATTGTAGGGTTGTGAGGCCTACCGGTTTTACGTTAAGAAGAGCTTCCTGAGGGGTAGGTGAAATATGTCTGTTCAGTAGTATAGAGACGATCTTATATACCTTACGCCAGAATGGGGCCACTACCGGGCATGACCACCACATGTGGAAGTATGTACCACTTTCACGACAGCCCCTGGTGCAGAGGCCATCATATGTTGGTGCAAAGTGAGCCAACTGAGCAGGCACTCCATCGGAGAAGCACCTTGTAGTTGGCCTCAAGGGTCAATGCATTTTTGGAACATGACTTGGTGCTTTCCCATATTTGGGACTAGGTGTCTTCGTCAAGCGTAAGGTTGAAGTCTGTGTCCCAGCGGTCCATGTACTTGTGTTGAGCCGTGCCCATACCCGAAATTAAGGAGGAGTACAATTGTTAAATTAGACCTGGATCAAATTCCTATTTTAAGTCCTATGATCTAGGCAGAAAAGGGGATAATTAGCACTACTAAGAGTTAGGGATGTACCAATACCATTTTTTCCAGACCAAGTATGAGTACCGACTCGCTGATACCAATTACCGATACCTTTTTTTTTTTTTAGTGTCATGTGACAGTTTTTCTAAAGCAATACAGACTCATGATTTTAGGACAGCGGTGAAGTGCCAGGGCCTGGTTGCAAAAGCAATCACCGCAACCATGGTAGTACTGTTACTGAGTCCAAGCTGTAGAGGGATTACAAATCCCAGCAATACATTATATAGCAATGCAGAATGGCACCAGCTGTAGAGGACTACAAATACCAGCTATACATTATACAGCAATACAGAATAATATCAGCTACGGAGTACTACAAATCCCAGCAATAGATTATACAGCAACGCAGAATGGCACGGCTATGGAAGATTACAAATCCCAGCAATACATTATGCAGCAATGCCGAATGGCAATGGCTATAGAGGACTACAAATCCCTGCAATACATTATACAGCAATGCCGAATGGCAACCGGCTATAGAGGAATACAAATCCCTCATGGGCAGGAAGGGGGATGAGGACATCTGTGGCGCTGTAAACAGGCACGCAAATCCCCAGAAGGCTGCTGTGAGGTCCC